TGGAGGTAGCGAGAAAGCCAGTGCTTGTCAGAGACCACCGCAATGCTATTCTGTGCTCTGAAGACCAGCTCCTCCCTGGACCTTTAGTCCACCAGCTCTTTCTCAGCCTCAGGGTACCTTCCCCAACTGCTGAGTCTAACCAGACACTACTCACGGCTTCCTCTATTTGTCCCTTCTCAGTCTCCTGCCACTATGCTGATAAATGCATATAACTCGCGTGCACCCACACGCATGAGTATTCAGTCCTTGCTGAAAGTAAGCCAAACTGTTCTGCTGCTGAGCAGTGAGCTCAGCATTTGACATGTGTCATCTTATGGGCTCCCGACAACTTCCCCTAAATAAAAGTGGTTTTATATATATATATATATATATATATATATATATATATATATATATATATAACTTAGCTCCATTTCACAGACAAGAAATACTAGATTCAGCTAAACCATGTGCTAGAATTCAAAGTCTAAATATTTTATTTGAGCCATTTTAGCATCAGTTGTAGTATGAGAAGAGGCTATGCCTCTGGAAGTAAGCCCAGGGCAGCCAAAGGAGTATTGGTCTTGTGGAGGCTGGAGTATGTCCCTTGGGTCATAAGCAATTACTTTTCCATATTCCGACCCTGGTCCATGTATCCCTTTGGTCTTCCCTAGCTCAGCTTTTTATTGGTGTGTGCCTTGCGGTCCATGAACGTCCTTGGGTCTCTTGCTAGGTCTCAGTTCCCCAAGGGACATGGCCTCCTCTGATTATTGCTAATCCTTCTCAGACAAAAGGACTTTTGTCAGCCCCTAAAATTCTGCATCTCAAGTAGTACATGTGTCGCACTACACAGATATCTCTGTCTCCACAGTAGAATGAGAGCTCCCGGCAGTCAAAATCATTGTAGTCAACTCTGTTTTTTTTTTCAGACCCAGACAATAGTAAGGGCTTGGCAAGTGATTGGTGGATGGATAGATAGGTGGATGAGTGGCTAGTTGGATTCATAGATGAACATCTGGATGAGTTAATGGACAGAGGCATGCATAGATAGGTGAATGTGTGGGTGGGCGTGCACATGGGTGGATGGGTCATGAGCCCTTAGATGGGTGGACTGTAGTTAAGTAAATGAGAGGGCAAATAGATGAGTGAATAAATGAATGCTTAGATGAGTGAATGTATGACAGCATGCGTGGGTGGGGGTGGTTGGATGGGTGTGTAGATAGATGGATAGATGGGTGGATGGTACTTAAGTAAGTAAAAGCCTGAAGAATGAATGCAGGGTTGGATAAGTAGATGAGTGGATAGATACTGAATGACATAAGCCAATGGGTAGATAGGTGGGTAGGTTAGTGGGTGGATGGATGGATGGATGGATGATAGATGGGTGTATGAGTGGATGGATGGATGGATGGATGATAGATGGGTGTATGAGTGGATGGATGGATGGATGGATGGATGAGAACTGGGTAGATGGATACATGGATGATTGATACTTAGATGAGTACATGGCAGAGGGATAGATGAATGAAGTCATGAATGTAAATGAGTGTATGGATGAATAAATGAATGGAGAAATGTATGGGGTGGATGGCTGCCTGGCAGGGTGAATGGATGGATAGTGGATGAGTGGGTGGGTGAATGGGCGGTTGGATGACAAGCTCTGTGATGAGTGGATGACAGATGGGTGGAGAACAGGTGGGTGAATTTGTGAATGAGTGGATGAATGAGTGTTGAAATGAGTGGATAAATGAAATGGTGCATGGTGGGGAGAGGGGAAGAAAGATTGATGGGTGGATAAGTACGTAGATAGAAAAGTGGGAGAAAGGACATATGCTGGGCACGCTCACGTGCTTATTATTATCACAAAGATGTGATATTGGTGATTTTGAAAGTAGGAGAAAGGACACAGGGAAAGGAGTGTGGGTGGCACCTAGAAGCCAGAGAAGGAAGAAAAGTGTCCCTTAGCACTTGCTGAAGGAGCACAGGTCTGTCAACTCCTTAATTTTAGCTCAACTTCTGGTCCTTCTGACCAGAAGTTATGAATGAATGAGTGTTTTTTAAACTGCTAAATTCATAACAATTATTCCTGCGACTTTGATATTCAACAAAGAAGGGCAGAGGCCTTGAGCATTGTCTCTGTACAGTCAGGAAGATCAGGCCCCGTTCTCTCAAATAGAGTTATGTAGAGTGGTAACTACTGTCCTCAAGTTGGGGCTTCAAATTATATCCTTGTGTGGAAGCCTTGCCCTTGGTCCATACACTTGCCCACACACCTCCAAATTCCCGTGGTCCCCAGAGTTACATTACCTTTCTGTGGGGCGTATCTATGTTCCTGCCAGCAGTGTGTCGTCCTTCACTTCCAGGCATGGGCACTGTGTGATCGAGCCTCCCCCAGGGCCACCTCACCCACCAACACCCAGGTAGGGCCACACTACGTTCAAGGCTCCCATAGATGATCTGTTCTTCCCTCTCTCTGGTGGCTCTAGGCGTCCTTAACTTGCAGCTGTATCTTTTCTATCTCTATCTCTGTGGTCACATGGCCTTCACATACACCTCTGTCTCCCCCTCCTCTCTTCACCTCTGTCTCCCCCTCCTCTCTTCACCTCTGTCTCCCCCTCCTCTCTTCTTAGCCTCCTCTGCTGAAAGTCCCTGATCAATGTGTGGTCAGGGCCGAGTCCATTTGATGCTGTTAGAAGAACCTGGTCTGGTCTTCCTCCGATATAAGTGTCACTGGTAATGTTTGGAGTCCCCTCCACTGTGGCACCTCTCCATCCACGTCCTTCATTTCACATGGCATTACACGGCTGCCTCTGTATTTAACGTCCCTGTTTTAAAGGCCTGTCCTACTGGACCAGGGCCCACCCTGATGACCTCATTCTTCCTTCATTTCCTCCAACCACCCTGTTCCCAAAGATGGGATTTCAATGTATTTTAGGGGATATGGTTCAGCCTAGACAATCTCAAATCTTCCTCTTCCTGTCCTTAAATGTCATTGTGTTGCTGGATATTGGGACCCTGAGGAATTCTAGGGGACCCCTTCATCTTAACCCCAGTATATCTTTATAGGTCAGTCTCACAGGTTCTAGAGATCAAGATGTGGACAGATCTTCCTCGGAGGTACAATTCAATGCATGCCTGTTCAGTCAGTGGGATGCACATTTATTAGGTGCAGCCACAACACTGTCATAGCTGGATGGGCCTCTGCTTTCTAATGTAGGTAAAATGCATAGCATTTCTCAATGTTTTCTTCACTGTGATTTCCAGTAACTGCTTTGTCCAATGTCTACTGGATTTCCCCCCTTGGAAAGCTGATTCATGGCTATCTCTTGAAAAAGAAGACACAATGGACGAAAAGAATGAAAAGAGATTTGCAAAGGGCCCCTACAGGGACCTGGTGCTCCTCAGAGACCTGGCACTCCCCACATGGAACAGAAACCCTCCCCTCAGAGTTAGCTTCTGCAACCATGAAGATCTTGGAAGGTGTATGAAGTCATCCAACACAGCACGAGCCATTGGGTATGGGATGTGCCTGAGAGCCAGGAGATGAGCCCTGACAGAAGGGCCTCAGACAGCCTGCCTTAGGATCAGTGAGCAGTGCGCCCCCAATAGGGGTGGTGCTGCTGAGGAAACTGGGGCCCTGTGGGGTCTCTCACACCAAGAGAACGGCAAGGATGTGGTGAGGTATTAGCATGCCAACTCGCTTGGTACCACTGTGCCAAACAAGTTTGTTTGATCGAACACACAGTGTGACCTTGTGTCATCCCTCGGACCTGCTGTGTGGCTTAGTTACCACAAACCAAAGGAAAGAACCTGGAAGAGTAACCTCATCATTGTTGGGAGCCTGCTTCCTGAAAATTCCATGGGCACCTACAGCTGAGCCAGGTCAGTCTTGTTGTCTAACCAATGCCTTTTACCAGGGTTAGGTGTGGTAAGAGTATCTTTCCCAGAGAAACACAACCAAGGTTAGTCTGTCCTATCTACGCAGTCACTGGCCTTGCCCTTTTCCTTACAATGAAGATCTTGGGAGACATACAAAGTTGCCTGGCACAGCATAAGCCACTGGGTATGGATGTGCTCAAGCAACAGGAGATGGGACCTGGTACTTCTTGTCCTATATAGTCAAGGCTAAGTCAAGAGTCACAGAACTCACTGATACACCCTAGAGCTAAGGGCCCTGGACCACAGTCCCACCTGTGGCTCCTGAAGCCTAGGTTTGGAGCTTTGACACCACCTATGTTCCCTGAAGCCTGGCTTCTGAGCCATGGCTGGAGGAGGGATGTCCTGCAGCATGGCAGTTTTCAGATGCTGACTAGCACCCAGGCACATGGAGGGATGCGGAGCCACCTGGCCTGCCCAGTCCACGGGCTCTGCTTTAGGCTCTGGAGTCGCAGAGAATCGGGCAGGTCTCCTCGGGTCTTCACAGAAAGTCAATTGTTTCATCTCCCACCTTCCCAGAATATCCTAAGAACTCTCCAAGCAAAACCACACTCCTGTCCATAGGGCAAGGAAAACTGAAACAGCTGCTATATTTAACAAAAAACACATCCTGTTGCCATGGAAACCTGTGTTCTAAAATTAGAAATGCCTCACACAGTGGGGTAGCTGCCATAGAAAGAGCTGCTCAAAAATGCCTCTCATCCATCCATTGGTCCTCTGGAAGGGAGCTCGGTGGACCAGCCCAGCCCACCCACACAGCAGCCATCATTTCTCAGTGGGCGAAACCTTTTCTGCCTTCCCCCACATGTGCCTACATTCAGGAAGAGGGGTTTCTGTCCAGCCCATTGGGGATTCTCCTTCTTTAGGATGCACTATGCTCCCGGGGCTACAGACACATCCTCCTGGGCAGCATGGGTAGGGCATGGAGTGGGGAGGAAGCCAGGAGGCCAGGACAGAGAGCCAGATACACCCTGGGGGTCCTGGTCACTCCTCTCTGCCTTTGGAGGAACAGGGTTTTGCCAGTGTTTCACAGGGCTCAACCTGCAATCATTCTCCACTTCTCGAGTCCAGCCCCCCCTCACCTCACCATCCTGGCCTGACCACTGAAAACCACCCAGAAACTAGTGAGCTGGATCCTGGGGGCCGCTTCCTACCAGACAGCTTCAGAAAGTATCGCACTAAACAGACATCGGGACTCCTTTCTCCTCCCTGGTACTCTGCAGCCCTGGTCCGTGTGTTCCCTTGGGCTTGTCCCTGCCCTTGACCCAGGCTCCTGCCCATCCCCACCTACTTCCCACCAGCGCATACTTGTAAGTGAGCTGCTAAGAAACCCTTAACTTCCACGGGATTCTGAAGGAGGCAATGGGGTGACATCCTCCCACCTGCTGTGATTTTCTGGGTGCTGGCCCAGTTTTTAACAGACCCGAGAGTGTATGGTCAGCCAGTCACGGCCCTGACCACCTTGTGGTCTCTGACACCCTTGGCCTGCTCCGTGTCATTACTCATTTCCACCCAAGCCCTGGAGACGCTGCTCGCCCTCCATCCACAGCTGCAATCCCCAGTGGCACAGCACCGGAAGTCAGCAGGACAGCGCCCTGCAGGCACACATGACCATGGCTGTCCTGAGTAAGAGACCTGGTGGTCACTTACAGGAAACCCTCCGGAGACGCTGCCTATCAACCTTGTGCAGATAGGAGGAGGCTCCTGAGCCTTTGGGAGATGGTCAGGATGTCCATCTCGTCCCAGAAGTTAGGTAAGAGGTAAACATTGCTGGGGGTGGGGGAAATGCTTCGGTAGTGTAACCATTTATAACCTGCCCAGAGCATTCCGGTGACACAGCTTTCATGAATTGACACTTACACTGGAATGGGGTTTTAAGTGATACAGTTCTCTGAGAGTCAGCCATGCTCCTGTAAGTAAAGCCAGTAAACTCACGGGTTTGGCAAATTGTCTGCAATTTTTCTTTGATCATTCTGGTTTCCCCCTTTTGTTCAGTCAGGGACCCATGGGTTGGAGTCACCCATGTTCAGGGTGGGATTTCCTTACTGTCTAACTTCTCACTGACACACCCAGAGGTATGTTTCCATGGTGATGAACCACCATAGATTTAGAGGGAAATTTGAGGAAATGGAAGCTTGAGTTTGGACCTCAGGACTGGGGCAGCCGTCTAGTGTGTGAAGTAATTGCTGTGCAAGCACGAGGCCCCCAGTTCAGACCTGTGCCAGGTCCAGTGTAAAAGCCAGGCATGGTAGTACATATCTGTAATCCCAGCCCTGGGGTTAGGGTGAGGGATGGGGGCAGAGACCAGTGTTTCCCAGGAGCTTATAGCCTGTCAAATTCAGCTCCAAGTTAGGTGAGAGACCCTGGATCAAAAAATGAGGTTAAGAGCAATAGATGAAGAGACCCAGGGTAGACCTATGGCCCCCCACACACGACCACACAATTATGTGAGCGCACATATGCCTGCACACTCACACACTTGCCTACACACACACACACACACACACACACACACACACACACACACACACCTCCAACAAGAAGAGACCCGAGAGGTCTCTATTAGTGAAGCTGAGGCAAGGAGGGTCAGAGTACCTCAACCTGCCCACCCATGAAACACTGGGACACATCGAGCTCACGTCTGAAAGAATATGGTAGGGCTCTTCCTGAACTTGACAAAGCTCTCACATTGTGCTCGGCAGTATCAATAGCGAGTTGCCAAGTTCAGTGAACTTTCCTAAGCATTTAACAATAAAAACCACATAAGTTGATTTGATCTTGCTGGAGATGGAATCATTGCTCTCTTCTCTTTATAGGAAGAGTGCTCCGTGACTGTAGGAAGAAACCAGGAAAACTGCAGACAGAGGAGCAGAGAAGCATGTCAGGCAGGCAATTACCAGTGATAGATGGTGTTTGTCTGACCTCTGATGCCTGTAGTACTTATGGGGTCTCAAAGTAAGGTGATTGGCTGAGATTCTCCTCATTCCAAGTAAATATTCACATTTACAGCGACGTTTGTATTTACAGATTTCCTTTTTCCTTCCCTGGTTCCCAAAGATGGAAGATCTCTGGGCTGTGCACCTGTGCCCACTTCTGTGTGGAGGGCTGCAAATTACCCCCCATCTCTGGAGGACTGCAAGCCTCCCTTCCTCCCCCTCTCTCCCTCCCCCATCCCTCTCTCTGTGTGTGCGTGCTTATGTGTGTTCAGTTTGCAGCTGCTCTGATGACAGTGGGGGTGGGGATAGAGAAATAGAGGAAGGTTCGAGGGCCCAGCACAGCCTCACGTTCATGGGACAGCAGCCTCTCTGAGCAGGAAGGAACAATCTCGACAGGCACGCAAGTGACACTTCCTTTGGGGGGCAAAGCCTGTCTTTGAAGCCCCACAAATTCGTGCTTCACGGCCTCCATCACCTTTGGAGAAGCTGTTTTCTTGGGTGTGTATGCTGTGTATGTGTACATACATGCCTATGTATATGTGCTGGGGTAGAGGTGCCTGTGTTTATGAGCATGTGGAGGCCAGAGGTAAATGTCACTTATCCTCCTTTATTGCTCTCCGCCTTAGTTTTGGGGACATACTGTCTCTTTGGACCTAGATATCAGCCATTCAGTTAGACTACCTGGCCCCAGTGATCTCCCTGGCACTGGGATTACTGTCACACACCACGGGGGTGCTAGGTACCCAAACACAGGACTTCTTGCTTATGTGGCAGACACTTTCCCAACTGAGCAGTCTCCCCAGCCCTCTCCACCTCCCCGTGCCCCTTGTGCCACTGCTGCCAAGCCAGACACAAGCCCTTCCCGGAGGGAAGGCGTATCCTACAGTCGGAGCCTTGGGGCAGAACTTCACAGCAATGACAGAGGACCCCAGCAGCTCATCCGGCTCTTTCCGGAGTAGGGACTTGACTGACGAGTGCATGGCTCAGTTGCCACGGTCTAAGCATAGCTCACCAGATGTGGCTTTTCATGGAACTGTAGCCAGAATGCAAGGCCACCAAGCAATGGTTCCACTGCATCTGCCTTCGCAAGCTTAATGTCCTAATGTCACCAGTTTGATGATCAGGTGGCCTCTTCGCTCTCATTGCACTTCCTACATGTCATTGACCTTGGCCAGTCTAGCAGACGCCACATCTCCCTGGCTCACGGATGCTGCATAGCAAGCACCCCAGCTGTCAAGCTAAAAGTAATGAGGACACCCACTTAGCTCACAGATTCGCCATTTTGGAAGAGCTGGGTAGACGGCAACTGTCTGAGCCCTAAACACGGGAGGTGCGAGGAAGAGGGCCGCATGAGGCAGACAGAGGGCCGTGTGGGGCAGACGACAAGGCCCGAGAGGGGTGGGATAATTTGAGACTCAGTGGCCCTCACTCTGCAGGTGCTGAGAGTTTCAGATTCCCTCGCAGATGGAAAACCACTGTCTCAGCTCCCACGCCGGTGGCTCTGAGCTCAGGTAATCAGTACCTCCAGGTTCATAAACAGATGCTCCTGTTTAATGAGGGAATTTGCATGAGCAGGAACATCCTTGGATGGCGTGTGACCTGAGAAGTGCTGCTCGACGCTTTTGTTCCTTCCTCTGTCACTGCGATTAAACACCTGCTGGCAGCAACTTAGAAGAGGTAGGGTATGCTCCCCTCACAGTTGAGGAACTGCGCTCACTGTGGTGGGAAACGCATGGCTGTGGGTCTGGTTGTGGAGGTGGGAGCTTTCTTACATTTGCATTCATCAAGGAGAGAGGGGGATAGGGCAAAAAAAAAAAGGACCACACTCTATAGCTCTGGAAACCCATGACCCGCTTCCTGCAGCTATGAACCCCCCAAGCTTCCACAGCGTCCCAGAACAGTTCCACTCTATGTGGACCTAATAATAAAAACGAGTCCATCGGGAACATTTCACAGTTAAACAGTTATATTCTATCCCAAGCCCCCACAGGCTCACGGCCATGTAATTAGTGCCTTCGGGTGAATTTCAAAGGTAGCCATAGCCTTTAACAGTCAACACTGTTCAAAAGTCCAAATGTCTCTTCTGAGACTCAAAGCAATCTTGTAGCTGTGAACCTCTGAAATCAAGGTGCACCTTACACACCTCCCATATCCAACAGCATGAAGGAAAGGCGTCCATTCCAAAAGGACTGGAATATAACAAGAGAAGGCTGAAGCAGGACAGGAGCTCAGCCGAGCTAATGCCAAACCCGAAACTGCCTGTTCAGCATCTGGAGCTCGTGAGGTCGCTGTCAACACATGAGAGGGCTTGGCTGGTGCCCCTCCTGCTCTGCTGCCTCTGGTACGTGTGTCTCCTAGCCAGTGCACTTGGTGCTTATAGCTTTCCTTGGTGAACAAACCATGCTGTGGGCATCTCCAATAGCCCAGGGTCTCTCCTGCAACTTAAGGCCTCACCCACAGTCCACTCGTGAGCTCCTTACCAGGCCTGCTCCACATTGTCCAGCCTCGGGAGTTTTCCAGAACCTTGACACAAGCTTCTCTCTTGTGTCTTGCATGATGCCTGTGAAGAAAGTACCATATGGTAGAAGCTTGAGATGTAGCCTAGCCTCCTTAGGGCATGACGGCAGTGGCCTGTGTGCATTTTGTTGGCAGAACCTGGAAATCCCTTTCTAAGAAGCCACTTTCCAATAGGGTAGCCTGAAGGCTCTATCTTTTCTATTCTTTTTTTGAATGAATTCCCATTTTAAGTCCTAAAACTCTGTTGACAGGGAGGGTCTTACCTTCAAGCACCTTACCTATTGTCCCAGTACAAAGCATGGTTTTCTCTTCATTGTGTCATCTCTTTAAGAGTCACGGGTGCTTCCTTTGTTCACACTACCTTGTCCAAAAACTTTAACTTCTCTTTATTTGCCAAATCACACACATTTTCACACGCTTCTGCTCTGCTTTCTCTTTTGAAATTTCGCTGCCAACCTCGCTAAATGCACTGAACAATAACACCACCATAGCCTGAATATTTTGCTGTTTTAAATTTTCTTTCACCAAACAAACCTCAAGCGATATCTGTTGTAATTTTTAAAAAGCAGCTCAAGAGAGAGAGATGTCATGTGACGGATTTCAAGTGGAGGGGTTGTTATTAAGGGAAAGGGATTGTAAAAAGGGGAAAGAAGGGGGGGGAGACCAGCCTCCACGGACAGGAGCAGCAGGAGAGAGGAGAGAAATGAGAGGCAGAGGCACGGAGAGGGGGTAACAGACAAACAGAGGGAGAGAGGGATGGGAGGTGGGCAGGGCCTTTTAAAGGGGAACACAATGAATAGGCATAGGTGGGGCTCTTAATGACAGCAGCTGAGGGCATATCCTGTCAGAACTCCAAAGGCAGGCCAGTACCAGTGCCCAAAACTAACAATGCCACTCAGATTTATAGAGCATGAGAAGAATTCAGCTAGATTCTCTGCCACAATGATATGAACAACCTTTCGCCCAGTTCACAGTAGAGTCTGCTCCCCTCTGAGCCCTGGTGACCCTGGCCTTCACTGCCTGCCTGTGTCTCCACATCCTGGTCTGGATTCCCACCCGAACAGCCCGTTCAGCTCTTGTAGCCCTCTGGGTCCTCTCCAGCACACAACTCTTCCGCATTGCCCTTGCAAGCCAGTGCGGAAGAGGCCTAAGAACCGTGCGGTCGTGTCTATTGCCCAAATGGCCCTACAACTCAGTACCAATTTTCCTGCATCAGTTACTTTCTTATCACTGGGATAAAACACCCGAAGGAAGCAACGGAAGGGGTGTGTTTTGTCTCAGAGAATGGGTGTGTGCAGACATCCCATCGTGGTGGGGAAGGGTTGACTGTGTGAATGGCCCACGGCTGTGGTGGTTGGAGCTTAGTCACATCCAGGTGGATCAGGCAGAAGAGAGAAAGACAGTGGGTCAGAAGCAAGGCTGGTTAGAATCCCTAAGACCCATGACTGAGTGACTCACTTCCTCCAGCCAGGCCCCACCTCCTAAACACTCCACAGCCTCCCAACAGTTCTTCCAGCTGGGAACATGTGAACCAGTGAGCACCAAAGCGGGGCATCTCAAGCTGTAACGGAACAGATAAGGCAGCCGCTGCACTGAGCTCTTCCGTCTGGGCATCTGCAGTGGTTATCCCAGAGAACTCACATCTGGAGGGGCATACTCAGAGCCCTGTTTATCAGAGTCCCTCTGCAGTAACAGCCAAGCCCCAGGGCCTAGTTAACGGCAGGCTTAAAATGGAACAGGAGCTCCTCCAATTATACTTTCCATAAAAATACAATTTCCCAAAATAGCTGATTATTTTTGTACCTGTAAAGCCAGGCTGATGTGACTATGTGTGACTTTGAGCTGTTGCATGGCTCTGAGAGTCGTCAGCTGCTGGTCTTCAGTTCCCTTTCTGTGAACCAGCGCTTGGGAGCATAGGAGAGGAAGGGTCCCAACTCCTCCCCACCATACTTTGGAAAAGGTGGCTTCCCGTCTCAAGGGAGGACAGCTGGAGGGAACCCTTCAAGCTTTCCGGGTGAAGTCAAGGAAAGCCCTCATTCAGTGGTGTGTCACCTCGGCTTCATCCTTTTGTGGGTGGGGCTCCTTCTCACTGGCTGCCTCCTCTGGGCTCCCATGGGTCAGGCGGCTCTGGTGGAGAGTGGGAGTCGTCCTTGAACTGGATTCCGGCAGAGTGCTTAGGGGAGAGCTAGGAGATATTTACAGAGAAGGCCAGGCCCCTCGGACGTGGAGCTGTTTAATGAGAGGAACACACTGTCATCTAGTGTCCGATCATAGGCAAGGAATGAAGCCGCCAAAGGGAGCGGGGAGCACCCGGGAACCCCAAAACCCAAGCTGAGACCGCACCCCTCGACATTGGAGTGTGACATTAACAGAACTGGGCTGGGGGAGTGATACGGAGACACCTCAAAGCCAGTCTGAGCCCTGGATTGGGCAAGGAGAGAGGAAGGCAGATTGCAGGACAGGAATTTTGGTTCATGGCCAAGCTCCTTCCAATGTCCGTTTCCTCGGCTGTTGGTGGAGGACACCAGCGTCCTCCCCGTTCCCTCTCTCAAGTGCCTCAGAGCCGTTCCCTCTCTCAAGTGCCTCAGAGCCCCAGCATTCTGCCCTGTCCTCACCAAGAGACAGAGTGTGTTCAAAATTCTCATCCCAAAAAGAGATACTGTGCTTCCTGCCAGAGCTGGGGGCTCCTGCTTGCCGAAGAGAAGTGAGGTGGGCCACCTATGAGATGCTGGGCTCTGAAATGTGTGACAAAGAGATATCACGGGAGAGTGGTAAGTCAGGGACCACCGCTGGAGGCCTGAGAAGACTCCTCACTCTGTTTGAACTGGAAACAAAGTCCCAGTGTAAGTAGCCACCATGTTAATAGACTAAACTTGGATTCCTAGAAAGTCAGATCCCCAAGGGAGCTGCATGTATATTTTTCTCAGCCACCTCCAAGGGGCGACATGGAAATCCCACTGCCTCTCTGTAAACAGGCATGTGGCTCCTCCGTCCTGGGACTGTCGCGTGAGAAGCGTATGGGGAAGAACTGAGCATGTGTGGGTCACGCAGCATTCTAGGACTGAGGCATCACAGATCTGTGATGCAATGACAGGAAACAACCGCTATGTATCTCACGGTGACTCTGCTCCTCTTCCAGCCTCATGAGACAAAGAGCCTCTGACAGTCACATGTCCTGAGGCCACAGCTCTTCCTCATTGGGACATCTTTCCTCTTCATTGCTCTGTGGTTGACAACGTCAAGCTCAGCTCAGTTTAAAAATCCCAAGAAAACTCCGAAATGTTGGACACACCGGGAACCCAGGCAGTCAGGGCAGAGGCTTGGGAACACAAGTTTCAGTCATCTTCACAAGTCAGAAACTGACAGAAAGGCTTTGAGAGTCACTTTAGTGGGGCAAAGATGCCACCAATCACCCTTGAGAGTGATCTCTGTGAGGTTAAGACACTGTCAGTCACCCGCAGTGTTAGTGGAAGGGGAAGATGTCCCAGGAAAAGGGGAAGGAGAAGTCAGCATGACCTGTAGCTGAGAACACTTGCCCTATGAGCAGTCCAGCTTCTAGCTGGTGGAAGACACTCTCCAACCACCACCAAGCACAGAAACAGTCACCATAGCCTTTCCTTCTGTAGCAAGAGAATATGTCACTCACCTTTTCAACACACCGTAGTTTCTGGAAGACTATCAATTACCTTTATCAAGGTTTCTGTTGTCTTATTTCATGACTGCTTGACCTTTCCATTCATCCTGAAGCCACAGATGCCCACGGTCCTAGTTTGTTTCTAGCGCTGTGATGAACACCATGACTGAGAGCAGCCTGGGTGAGGGAAGGTTTATCGAAGCTTACAGTTGTAGTTCATCATAAAGGGAAGCCAGGGCAGGAGCCTGGAGGCGGGAACTGAAGCAGAAATCAAGGAGGAACGATGCTTACTGGCTTGGCCTCCAGGGTTCACTTAGTTTGCTTTCTTACTCTATGACAACCTGCAGATGGGTGGTACCACTCAAGTGGCCTGGGCCCCTCCACATCTATCATCCACCAAGAAAGTGCCCCCACAGACTTGCCTACAGGTCACTCTGGTAGAAGCGTTTTGTCAGTTGTGGTTTCTTCTTCCAAGATGACTCTAGGTTGTGTTGAGTTAACAAAAAAAATCTCATGAGCATATCCACACATCTGCAGCCTGAAGGCCCTGGAGTAACTTCTTCCCAGTGGGGGCCATGCAAATCCCACCTCCTTGACATGGCAGCTTGTTACAGCAGTCTTCAGGAGGAAGAAAATGTAAGGGAAAGAAAGTCAAGCAATTGCCTGCAAAACAGAGGAGGAACATGCACTCCTGGACTTTACCATTTTTAATGAGTTAAATCTCAACAGTTTATCTAATGTATTGTCTTGCAGTGGTTTTCAGTTTGCAATGAACATGTTCAGGACAAGAAGCAATGAACACTTCCAGCTGGTGGAAATTTCCACTGTGCTCCATACCGTTGACAGTGAATGGGAAGACTGCAGGAATGATCTGTGGATTTGAACCCTTCACCTTGGGCCCATCTGAAATCCTGGATTCACAAAAACCAGAAGACACAATCTTCTGTGAATGCTCCAATGTATACTTAAAGAAATAAGTGATGGCTCAGGAAGGTGGCTGGTCAGTAAAATGCTTGTCTTGCAAGCATGAGGACCTGAGTTCAATCTACTGCACTCATGGTAAAATGCTAGGCTTTGAGGCTGGGTGTTAAAATGGATTAGGGGTATGGGTGGTGACACACACCTTCAATCCCAGCACCCCAGAGGCAGAGGCAATCAGATCAATTTGAGTTTGAGGCCAGCCTGGTGGTCTACAGAGTGAGATCTAGGACAACCAAGACTATAAAGAGAAACCCCTGTCTTGAAAAATAAAAAACAAACAAACAAAAACCACAGAAAATATGGAAATAAAATGAAAATTTTCATTAAAAAACTGGTTTAAGGGTTACAGCACTGGATGTTCTTCTAGAGAGATTGTGTTCAATTCCCAGCATCCATAAGGCAGCTTCCAACCATCTGTAACTGCAGTTCCGGGGGCTCTAACTCCATCATATGGTCTCTGCAGGAATTGCACACACTTGGTATGCAGACATACATGCAGGCAAAATATTCATACACATAAGAATAAGTAAATAAATAAATAAATAAATGCTGGGTGTGTCAGGGCACACTTGTAATCTCAGTGCTGGGAGGAGGAGACAGGCAGATCCCCGGGCCCAGCAGCTAGAAAATATAGCTCAATTGGCAAGCTCCAGATTAGTCAGGGATCTTGTCTCAAAGGAAGTGGGTGGTATTCCAGGGGATGGCACCGGAGTGTATCCTCTGGCCTCAACATGCACTGGAATGCACACACACACACACACACATACACACACACGAGAGAGAGAGAGAGAGAGAGAGAGAGAGAGAGAGAGACAGACAGAGACAGAGACAGAGACAGACAGAAACAGAAAGATAAAGACAGAGACAGATTAGTTGTTATTCATAAACAGTAGCCAAGAATCATAACACAGTACACGCAGATACAGAAGGCATACTGGCCCGTTCTCTGTAAAGCATGAATCTTCATTTAGATCAGCTCATTCTTCTAAGTCAGTTTGCTCATTAAAACTCTCAGCTTCCATGGGCACACCTCAGAAGAAAGCTGTGCATCCGGGCACGGTCCCCCAGCAGCAGGACTCTGAGAACAGCAGAGCAGTAGAGATGTTCGCTTTCCCAGTCATTCCACCAGCACCCGCAGGTGCTGTCAGTCCCAATGAAGAGTCCTGCTTTTAATGTTTAACTGTGGCATCAGGGTGAATCCTAGAGAAATATGTCCCTAGGAGAGTGTGAGGTCTGATGATGTCATGAGTGTGGTTCAAGTTTTGAAGGCAACTCCACAGGTAAACAAGGCAGTGCTTCTGCAGGGTCACAGCATGGTGGCAAACAGCCCTGCTGAGTCAGCGTGGTCAATGAGTGACTATAACTCAGAATCTCGTCAAACAAGTTAGTCATTAAAATGTAAAACCACACGCATGTACACACACATACACACACACTTGTGTATGCACATATGTGTATATGTATATATCAGGGACTTCTAGAGAAATAGGAGAGAGAGAAGAGAGAGCTCCCTGGTCACTGAGGCTAGGTAGTCACACAGTTTGTGGATCCAGGAGCTGGACTGTGGCCTGTGGTGTGAGCTGTCTGGTGTGAGGCCTGTGAACAGGGGAGCCAGGGAACATCCCTCCCTTTCAAGAGCAGAGAGAGTGAGCTGCGCCATCATGCACATGCTGGGAGTCAGGACAAGGAACCAATTCCTACTTCCTCCCCTTTGTTTGGTACAGGCCCTCTGTGGCTGGATAAAGCCCCATGGGAAGGGTTATCTCCGCTACTTAGCCCAACTCACTCAAATGCCCATCTGGACACACCATCCCGACACCATAAGTCGGGCACACTGTAGACTAGATAGATGGGTACATAGAGTTCACACACACACACACACACACACACACACACAAACACACACACACACACACACACACACGAGAGAGAGAGAGAGAGAGAGAGAGAGAGAGAGAGAGAGGGTTGACCCATACACATCTGTGACCTAATTATGTTGAATGCATGTAGACTCGCATGCCACAGCAGCACAAGGCTTCCCTGTATCGCCTGTCATAAGTTAAATTTTATGAACATCTGAGTTCTGGAAATCAACCCAAATGTCCTATCACGCTATTGACGGCACATTATAAAAACATTTTGAAATCTTTACTCGGAGTGTTAACTAAATGGAGCGTTGAAGAACTTGGGCTTTGAAGACTTCTGCTAATGCAACAATTAGAAACAAGCTAGGAGGAAGACCCGAAGACCATGGAAGGAACAAAGAGCCGGGGCCTCCAGGCTCCATGTGGCAGCTCCTGCTCCTCAAATTCCCCAGCCCACAGAAGCCCCAGCAACAAAACCCTGGTTACTTTTATAAACTATAACACTGGGAAGAAACCAGCCCAGGAAGAAAATGGAAAAGATGTAATTCCTCCAAAACGGGAAAGTGCCCTAGAAAATCCAAACTCCTGGGGGAATATATTGCTTAAGGTTCCTTTGTGAGTTTTTTTTTCCTTTTTCCTTTTTTTTTAATTAGAAACAAGCTTGTTTTACATGTCAATCCCAGTTCCCTCCCCCTCCTCTCCTCCCCTATCCCCTACCAACCAACCCCCTATCCCTGTCTGCTTCCCAGGGAGGGTGAGGCCTTCCATGGGGTATCTTCAAAGTCTGCCATATCATGTGGAGTAGGGCCTAGACCTTCGACCGTGTGTCTAGGCTGAGAAAGCATCCCTGTATGTCAAGTGGGCTCCTAAAGTCCATCCGTATACTAGGTATAAATTCTGATCCACTACCAGAGGCCCCATGGATTAACCAGACCTCCAAACTGATGTTCAGGGGGTCTGGAACAGTCCTATGCTGGTTTCCCAGCTATCAGTCTGGGATCCATGAGCTCTCCCTTGCTCAGGTCAGCTGTTTCTGTGGGTTTCTCCAGCCTGGTCGTGACCCCTTTGCTCATCACTCCTCCCTTTCTGCAACTGGATTCCAGAGTTCAGCTCAGTGTTAGACTGTGGCTGTCTGCTTCTGCTTCCATCAGCTACTGGATGAAGGCTCTAGGATGGCATATAAGGTAGTTATCAATCTCATTATTGGAGAAGGGCATTTAATATAGCCTCTCCACTATTGCTTAGATTGTTAGTTGGGGTCATCATTGTAGATCTCTGGACATTTCCTTAATGCTAGATTTCTCTTTAAACCTACAATGGCTCCCTCTATTATGTTATCTCTTTTCTTGCTCTCTTCTATTCTTCCCCGGACTCGCTCTTCCAACTCTCTCATGTCCTCCTCTCCCTCCTCTTCTCCCCTTCTCTTTCTCCTAATTCCTTCTCCCCTCCCCCATGCTCCCAATTAGCTCAGGAGATCTTGTCCCTTTCCCCTTCTCTGGGGGACCATGTATGTCTCTCTTAGATTCCTCCTTGTTTCCTAGCTTCTCTGGATTGTAGGCTGATAGACCTTTGTTGTATGTCTATAATCCATATATGAGTGAGTACATGCCATGTTTGTCTTTGTGTGACTGGGTTACCTCACTCAGGATGGTTTCTTCTAGTTCCATCTATTTGCCTGAGAATTTCAAGATTCCATTGTTTTTTTCTGTTGTGTAAATGTACCACATTTTCTTTAATCATTCTTCAGTTGAGGGGCATCTAGGTTGCTTCCAGGTTCTGGCTATTACAAATAATGCTACTATGAACATGTCTGAACAGATGTCTTGTTGTATGAATGTGTATCTTTTGGGTAGATGCCTAAGAGTGGAATTGCTAGATCTTGTAGTAGACTGATTCCTATTTTCCTGAGGAACTGCCATACTGATTTCCAAAGTGGCAGTACACTCCCACCAGCAATGGAGGAGTGTTTCCCTTTTTCCACATTCTCACCAACATAAACTGTCATCAGTGGTTTTGATTTTAGCCATTCTGACAGGAGTAAGATGGTATCTCAGAGTTGTTTTGAGTTGCATGTCCCTGATGGCTAAGGATGTTGAACACTTTCTTAAGTGTCTCTCAGCCATTTTAGATTCCTCTGTTGAGAGTTCTCTATTTAGTTCTGTACCCCACTTTTTAATTGGATTATTTGGTGTTTTGGTGACAAGCTTCTTGAGTTCTTTGTATATTTTGGAAATCAGCCCTCTGTAAGATGTGGAAATGGTGAAGATCTTTTCCCATTATGTGGGCTGCTGTTTGTTTTGTCTTGTTGACTGTGTCCTTTGCCTTACAGAAGCTTCTCCG